TCTCTCTCTCTCTCTGTCCCCCCCCCCCCCCCCATCTCTTCGTCCTTGTCTGGAACAAGTTTACAACTCCGCTGCTGTTCCCGCGCCTCAGACATAATAGCGACCGAGATGGATCTTGCGTTCTCGCTGAGTTTGCATTTTTTAAAGGAGCTCCCTGGTCTTCTCTCTCCACCCCCCCCCTTTCTGTTTAAGCCTGGAAGGTCACTGACCTCACAAGGGTGGAGTGGGAGGGGGGAACAACCAGCAGGAGAGCGCATGCAGCGTCACAGTCCTGGCCCCCATTAGATCTGCCTTTCATCTCGCTTATTCTCATCACATAGGCGCACGCACACACAAGCAGAAAGAAAGAAAGAAAGAAAGAGTTCGGTAATACAGATCTTTTTCTTGGGTTATACTGTATATTAAGGGCAACCTTCCCCAACAGAGGCCTCCAGGTATGTTTGGAGGATAGTGATAAACAGGCTGGCTAGGAATTATGGGAAATATAGTCCTGACATATAACACTCTTGCCTTGTCCTTCTTATTGGTCCCCTAAGTTTGTCTTTTCCACACAAAGACAGTGAGAAGGTGACCCATGCTTTCCTTGCATTTGAAAAACCCACGTATGATGCATAGTCATTCAGAATTGGATATACAAGTTCTCTTCACTAGAAAAGCCCCATGAGAAAGATGCGATGCTACAAGTAGTAGGGGAGCCTTCCGCAATCAAAGGGAAAGCGTTTCAATTAAACTCAGCTCCTGGCAATTTCACAAACATGTCCAGGCTGTCTTCTGGCAACAAGATAGAAATGCTTTGCAGCTTCTTTCTTCTGGGATGTTTTGCAACTTTCCAATCTAGCCAACAGCCCTGGAATTCCCAGGTGGTTCCCTACCCAAGTGCCAACCAGACTGGACTGCAATGACCAAGAGCCACCGTTGGCTGAGGACGTTGGCTGCTGCAGTTCACTAGGTCTGGCCAGTGCCTAGTTGCAGAAAGCAACTAACAAGAATTACAGAAAGGCCTTTCATGGAGTACAGAGTAAGAAGGGTCTCAGTGAGGAACATCCTTGGAGAAGTTGGGATTCATATTGGATAACACACTGCCCCAGCTGCATACAGTGTTCAAGCATGCTGGTGAGGTTTCCACATTGTTCCAAGTCACAGTTTAACCATCTTTTGCTGAAAAGGCTGCCACTGGCAAAAACTTAATACAACGTGCTAAGCCAAGCTATTCAATTTTTTCTGGGCTAAAGGATGGATTGGGCTTTTGAATGGAGGGCTGGGGGCCACATTCAAAAGGGAATGGATGGGAACATGACAAAATGAAATTTGATTGAAAATTTAAAAAAAAGCTCGTAGGGTTACTCTCTAGTCATCTGTTTGATCATTTTCCTCTTCTCTCACATTCTGGAGGTCTCAAGGAATGTACCCAAAGTTCAGGGGTACATACAGCTGGGGGCCTCAAATTGCCTACTCTTGCACTAAGTCATAAACTGTGACTTTCCAACTCCAATATGTAAGTCAAAACCTAGCAATAGCATGGCTTAGCAGAATGTGTAAACCTAGTCTATATTTGCTTAATTTCTTAGACTGTGCTCCTGCTTGAAAAAAGGTTGATAGTTCTCTGTCCCTTTTAACCTTCTCCCTTCTTTTCACAGTCAGCAGTGCCTAGACAAAGAACTATTTATTAGTACAGGAGAAGAGCCCCCCTAAAGCATGTGGTTGGTTGGCTGCCTGCTGAGAAGCCTGAGTAGACAAAGTTTATCTTTTGTTTCTCTAAAGGCCTCCTCCATTGAATCCTTTCCACACAATAGCATAACTGATGAACCTAGTTAGTGCCTTTAACATTCCATTATAAAGTGGTTAGGAAGGTGGGTTCAGCCTTGAGATGTGTTCCTGATTGGTTGGCTTAGTCCATTACATCACATGTGAAACTTTGCCCTGATTGGGCAAAGTAACACTCAGTATCCTCAAAGAAGCTGACTTACAGTTAGCCACCATGTTTTTTCAAATTTTGGAAGCTTTGGAAACAATTCCAAAAAAGCGCTTCAGACCACATCTGAGCACAGTCCCTCTCTGTTATTAATAAAAGCAGCCATGTTTTTTCAGGGTTCCATGAGAGCCTGAGAAAAGATGTGGCTGCTTTAAGAGTTGTATTAGGGAATTGAGTCATTAAAACAGCATCATCTTTTTTCAGGTGTGTGCCAAAGCATGAACAGTGAAGAGTAGCTGTACTTGTGCAAGATCTGGAGTGCTTCTTTGGAATTATTTTTGAAGTGTACCCAGTTTAGAGAATAGTGCTTAGAATGAAGGACAAAAAAAGGAGGAGGAAGAGGGCCAGTATAACAACATCTAAATGATCTCTCTCCAGCTATCCTTCCTGCAATGAACTCTGGACAGATTCTGAAACCCATGCATTGATGCAAGCAAGTAATATGTAATTAATTTTGGTATGCTGATTCTATTGATTTTATTTGGAACTCTCTGTAGGTGATTGTTGCCTTCCCCTGTTTTTCCAGTATTCACTTTTCCCCCCAATGACCTTTTGATATCTAGAGATTAGTTGCATTGGTTAAAAAGGAATTGCCCATGAAGACCTTCCCCATGTACAGGACTACATAGTTACATAGGACTCTTCCACATGGCAATGTTAAAGAGCTGTTGCACAAGCTGTCAGGAAAGGCTGCTGATATAAACACCTACTGCTGCACTTCCAACCCCAGCTTGGCCTTTGTAATGAAGCAGAATAGGAGTTCTGTCCACAAGAACTGTGTGTGTGTGTGTGTGTGTGTGTGTGAGAGAGAGAGAGAGAGAGAGAGAGAGAGACCTCCTTTAGTACCAGTTACTGGGAGCAGAAGATCCATGGGTCTTCTACTTATGGGTCTTCTACTTAATTCTCCAACTTATGGAGATCATTCCATGGAAGTTGAGAATGGCATCAAATAAGCCATTCTCTCCCACTTCTCTCCCCCTACTTTTCCTGCCCCATGGCAAGAGAAGCAGGAAGGGAGAGAGAAAGGGAAAAAAATGTTTTAATGCCAGTCCTTCCAGCATCAAAAGATGTGCTTTCCCCATGCTTTACCACACAGAAAAGCCACTTTCTCAATCTTCACTTTGCTTCCCCAGACACTTCTCCAATTGCACAGAACACCTCCATAGATTAGGAATTGAAGAAGGGATGGTTCACCCTCTCCTTAAGAAGCCATCACTAGAGTCAGTGGAACTGGACATTTTTTATTTGGTCTCAACCTTCCTACTTAGGGAAGGTTGTTAAGAGGATGGTAGGCTTGCAGCTCCAGAAGATCTTGGAGGAAGTGGATTATCTAGACCCACTTCAACTGGTTTTCAGGCTGGACTATAGTACTGGGATGACACTGATTACACTTACTGATGATATCTGCTTGGGACAGGATGGGGGTAGTGCACCTGTCTTGGCCCCCTTCAACTATCTTTTACTGGCCTTTAATGCCATTGGTAATGATATCCCTCTGGACCAGCTTA